GCCACCAAGCAATTCGGAACGATGCCTTCCAAGCTGTTAAAGCTGCCCGATTCCGAAGCACCACTACTGCCCAGAAACGACGACGCAAACATATCCCGATCTCACCAGGAGACATGCTCATGGTACACGGTAACATGTTCATTACCAATGTTGGACGCAGCAAGAAACTGCAACCCCGATGGCGTGGACCCTTCAAAGTCATATCCTTTGACGAGCACACAGAGAACTACACTCTCCAGATGGATGGACGCATGTACCGCCGCAATACTGCAGTCTTTCACGCCTCTGCTGTCAAACGGTTCCACCCAAATGACGACTCCAAGGTCCCCGGAAGAACCCACTCTCGACCCGCACCTATCATCATTGAAAAGAAAGATGAATGGGAAGTTGAAGAAATCCGAGACCACCGCCTTTGGCATGGAAACCATCAGTTCCTAGTCAAGTGGAAAGGATATCTGACGAGCGAAAACAGTTGGGAACCACTAGAAGGACTAGAGCACGCTATTAATATGGTGAACGAATGGTGGAAAGACAACATGCCAAACGAATCCCTTCCCCCAACAATCAATTATATCACCATGTGCTGGACACCTACAATGCCAGAAACTGAGCGATGGCACGCGGAACTCGAAGCTAGAGATGGATTTTGGGCACCACACTTTGAGTCGGAGTTTGAAAGCAGCGATGAGGAGAATCAAGCCATGGAGCAGGCCCTCGACAACTTTATCTAGTCACCAATCACCATCCGATTACCATAACGATGTCAAACTATGTGGAGCTCAATGTGAGGCAGCAACAACAGGTTGTTGGACTGTTGTTGAACCGCGATGCTATCCAACTTGAAGACTATTTCGAAATCCTCTGGATTGACTACTGTCCTGATTGTGATCATGCTTGGGTTGATGTACAGCACGAATCTGGTATTCGTGACTACTGTGATTTAGACTTCTTCAAGTCTAAATGTTTCCTTAGAGTTTCATCTTGTCCTTGGTGTGATACTTATGATGAGGAATTTCTTGCGGAAACTGAAGCCATGAGTTTTTCGGAATCCGCTTTTGATGATTATTAGATTTTTTTTGTTTAAACAGTTGTTTTGTTTTGGGGAATGTAACCGGTACGGGTACTTGGTTATTGGTTTTGTTTTATGTTTTGTTTTAAGTATCGCTTTGATACTTGGTTTTGTTTTAAGTATCGCTTTAATCCTTGGTTTGTTTTAAGTATCGTTTGATACTTGGTTTTGTTTTAAGTATCGCTTTAATCCTTGGTTTGTTTTAAGTATCGTTTGATACTTGGTTTTGTTTTATGTTTTGTTTTAAGTATCGCTTTGATACTTGGTTTTGTTTTAAGTATCGCTTTGATACTTAGTTTGTTTTAAGTATCGTTTGATACTTGGTTTTGTTTTATGTTTTGTTTTAAGTATCGCTTTGATACTTAAAAAGTTTTACCAAAGAGTATCGCTTGATACCTTTGATTAGTTTCGTTCATGCTAGACTTGAACAGATTTGTGTATTTAAAGACCGCTTGTTTCTACGATAGAAAGAGCAGACTTCGACAGACAGTATTTCAATATACTTGGTTGAACGGTTACTTCTTTGTTCCTCAGTACACCCTCGAAGCCTCCTTTAGTTCCCAGCTCTCGCCTCCTCTCTGGAAGAGCAGGCCACCTGCCTACTATCGTATCCATTATCGATAACGTGATTAGCACCTTGCGAACACGTTACAGTAAGTATCTGTTGCCTTTTCTTCACAGAATGATCCTATATATAGTCCAGATGTAGGTTTTGCTACATATACCTTTTTCAGGAGGAGATAGTATGCAAGTTTAGTTGTCTATTGATCAAAAGCTTCTGGTTTGAGGTCTTTCTCCTCTCCAGAGAACTTTGATGATAAGTGGAATTTGAGTCCAGCGAGGTCTGTCAATTCGAGTTCTTCTTCTTTTTCTGGTCACACACTTGATTTTCCTCCTCCTGAAGGTCCTCCTCCTGATGGTCCTCCACCAGTACTAGTCATATCAGATTCGCTACTGGATTCAGGATCATTTAAGGATTTAAATATAGGCTTCTTAGCTGAGATAGGAGGGAATTCTCCTGGAGGTTGTAGTCCTTCCATGCTTGTGGATTCTTCTGGCTCTTTAGTAGAGTGCCGGGATTGTCTCTTTGTTGTAAGGTCTTTCCATTAGATTTGTATTCCACTCCTAGTCATCAATAACTCTATGTTGGTGTTGAGATAAAGCTGAATGTACTGTGATTCTGCCGCTTCTCTCTACTAGTGTTCCAAGGTGGATGTCGATAGGTTAATCAGGCCTAAATCAAGTAACAGGTTCTCAACGACTTGCTGAGGTTAAAAAAATGTAATGTGTTCACAAGATGCTAATCACATTTCGAAGTAAGATATGATAGTTTAACAGGTGGCCTGCTCTACCAGAGAGGAGACGAGAACTATAACTAAAGGATACTTTGAAGGTGTACTGAGAAAACAAAGAGTAACCGTTCAACCAAGTATATTGACATACTATCTGTCAAAGTCTGTCTTTTTCCATTGTAGAATCAGACGGTCTTTAAATATACAAATCAGTTCGTATCTAGCATAAATAAAACTAGTCAAAGATATCAAGCGATATGCTTTGGTAAAACTAATTAAGTTTCAAAATAATACTTAAAACAAACATAAAACAAAACCAAGTATCAAAGCAATACTTAAAATAAAACATAAAACAATACCAAGTATCAAGCAATACTTTAAAACAAACCAAGTATCAAAGCGATACTTAAAACAAAGCATAAAATAAAACCAATAACTGAGTACCTGTACTGGTTATAAAAGATACGAAGGCCAGAAGGCACAGTTCTACCAGCAAAAAGTGGATGAAGAAATGGCACGGTATGATAATTATGTTAAGGTCTGCTGAAATGAAGCGGCTTATGCAAACTTGAATCTATTAGTCGATCAACTCAATAACCTACTTGTGCTAGCTCAACTACTAGGACGATGCTTACTTGCACTGGATGTAGCGAAATTTCATTCTACAGAAAGTGTTTTTGACTACCCTACAATCTCACGATATCATTCCTTCCTTAATTCCCCCTGGATATACTGGATTAGTCCAGCCACTTGATGTTTCTGTCAACAAGCCTTTCAAAAGCATTTTACGCGATATTCTTGAAGAGCTCCTGGATCAGTATGAGAAGACCAATCACCTTAATCACAGTGAGATTTCGAAGTCAAACATGTCTGCCATTGCATAGCGCCAAGTTATTGTTACGTGGGCAGTTGGAGAAGCATGGGATCAATTTTGCTGCAAGCATCAAGAACCTGTAGTTGAAACCTTTCGCAAGTTAGGCCTCACACTACCTATTGACGGATCATCAGATGATGAGTTAGCCGTAAAGGGGATTGAAACTACACTTCTCGAAATGGGTGATTGGAGACAGAACGAGCAAATGATGGCAAGCCCAGAGGAAGGGCCTCCGATTGATGAGGAAACTGACAATCTCGGGATTGAATTTGTTGATAGAGAATAGGTACTAGTAAATGGGAGAATGGAAAAGAGAAAGGAAAATCCCCCACAGGTGTCCGCCAACAAATGAAAGATCACTTGTTCTTTTTTTTTATACTCGCTTATTTTGCCACCCCCTCAAAAATACGCCACATACTGATCCTTCGTGTTAGCGCCATTTCCAGTATGGCCAGATAATGCGGTAATAGCTAGCCCGGGCAGGACTATCGAGGGGTTTGAAAGTGGCTACGGTGCATCATAAAAGTACCTCCCCGTGATACTGTACCCCAGCTGGAGATCGGTAGGCGGTATTGGCTGAGCCGAGTTTAGATTATACTAATACGTACTGTACTATTCAATGCATTGAATTTCGGGCGGGGGGATTATCTAGACTTCTGCCGTCGCAAACCAAGCAATGAGCTCCTCTTGAGGCGAGCGCTATGCTCGCATACATCAGGTTCCCTCTCTTCTGTCGAAGGTTCGGGTTAGATGCGGATTGGTCAGGGTAGATTGTGGAAGCTGTGGGAGTCTGGCGGATAGCTCGGAGGTTCAATAGATCAGTGTGGGGGTTCAGAGATTGGCAGGGTGGATTCTCTATGCTTGTCTTTCCTTTGTTATAACGGGAGTGTATCGTACGGAGGAAAGGACAGTGCGCATGGAGAGCTAGTGATGGGTGTGGTGATCCAAGGAGGGATCAGGATTCATTGCTTGTGTTTTACTTATACTGCTGTCTTTACCGTTTTGGATATGATAGGAAGAAAGGGACGAATGAAAGTCACTTTTTACCTTACCTCTTACTCTTGTCCACATACTGCTATCATTCTCCACACATATCCACTTGGTCTTCCCTCCACCTCTGTGCGATTGGTCCTCCACCATTATTCTATACTAATACTTGTATCTTCAACCTAAGACATGCTTCCCGACCACAGGATAGTGAGTTGCGATGTGTAATTTAGTTAAACTGCAATGACCAACCCAGCCAATGGTTGGAACACCTATACTCGAGTAGGCTATTGACCCTTGCGCACCGGTTATCGTAGCAGTCGCACCGGATGAGGCAATATCATATATCTCGGAAATCACGGATACACAGCACTCAAAAATTGCATACAAGTGCAAGTCCCTCAAATAAAAACATCTATGTCCATGAGCTCCCGAGCAGAACATGCACCTAATAAGAGTGAGATCCAATGCACTTGACATAAACCCATATCCAAGGAAAAATTCCACCACTACCAGTATCCGCAACGAAAAAAACCGCAAAACCCATCCGGCCAAAGAAACTATGAAAAATAGCACTCAAGTCTCCGGATTGGAGTTACGTTTCGGATTATTATTTTTTAGTGACACGCTAAGAAAAATGCAACTCCAACCCCGCGACGACACTTCCAGCCTAAACTCCCACCCAGAAGAAACCGACCCAGTTCTACATTCATCCAATAAAGCATAGTCGTGGAAACAAAGGAGAGCAATAAAACCCAGCCAGTGGAGTGGTCCGCGCTCACTCATGAATCCCCTTAAACCTCACCAAGAGCAGTGGCCCTGAATCCCAGTGCGAAACCAACAAGACAAACTTCTCCGTCATGGCACCACATAGCCGCGGAGCTCTATCCCCGCCGACCTTCCCTGAATTCGGGAGATGGAGAAAGCGGAACCTGGCTTCCATCTTCTCAGGTGTGCGATAAGCCATTCCCGGAACAAAAAAATCCGAAGACGGAAAGCCGTCCTCACCCCCTTCTCCATCCGGTGCAATGTGGTGATTGTAGCAGCAGATCAAGCCGTTGTACTCGTGGGCAAATAGGTCGGTGGAGATTTGCTTCCCGCAGGCCTCTAGGTTGAACATATCCCCGTAGCAGTCACCAGTTCGAAGGTCAAAGACAAGTCTACTCGCCCTAGACACCTTACTCGTGCATGCGGTCCGATTGTAGACCTCAAAGTCAAAAACAAAGTCGTAACAGTCATTCCCAGAGTATAGAGGCAACCCATCCCTCAGCTCCCAATTGTAGTCCTTGCCCTCAGGCTGCGGTTCCAAAACCATCTCCTTCAACGCCACCGCCCCGGTTGAAAGATCTAACATGTGAACCACCCGCTTCTCGAGAGGTATCGATTCAGTGAGTGTCCAGACCCTTTTTCTCTCCGCATCAACCAGTAGCCTATGGAACCTCATATCCGAACCCGCGATATTCCAGAGCCATTCAATAAGTCCCCCTTCATATGTCTTTGAAGTCTCTTTCACCACATCGTGAACGACCAGGATCTTCAACACTGATATGGCGACAAAATTCCCGTCCCCGTGGATACTAGTAACACGCGCGTTGGGCAACTTGAAGCTATGCCATTCCATCGTTGACAAGTTCCAAGCGTAGCACACCCCCATAGAAGTAGCCACAACAACATGCGTAGGAAGCAATTGTACCAGCAGGATACGAGATCTATTCGGCAAGAACATCGGCTGAAGAACCTCGGTGATGGGAGATGTAGACAGGTCCACGACCTGAAGTTTAGTAAAATTATCAAACACGTATGCAAACTGTGACGTTCTATGACAGAAGGAGGTCATATTCATCGTAGTGGAATGCTCGAGCTCTTCAACGCTGTGAGACTCTCCATTGAGGAATGCCCATCGACGCGAAACCCTATTCTCATAGTAGATCCTCCATGACCCCGGCTGTGAGGGGTTATCTTCCAGCGGTAAAAGCTTGTTGGATAGAAAGCGACAAACGTCCTCCGATGTGAATATTTCATGGTAACGCTTCGACACGCGACGGATCCTGATGGTGTCAATCGGGTCAAGGTGCTGAATCACCTGGAAGACGAGCTCAACCGAGAGTGCGCCAATGATATCCACGAAGAATGGTGTCTGTTCCAGCAGAGTATGTATGTAATTCCAGTCAGAAGGATGGAACTTCCGTGCGAGCTTTGAGAGAAAACATCTTCGAGACGATGGGGACGATCTTTCAAAGAGGTCGATGGCCAGTTGGGAATCTATGGAGGAAGAAGTCGACATGACGAAATGAAGGAACGACAAACCTAATAGTCACCAAAAGGACCATAGAAGATTCCCTACCCAAGCTGAAAGCGGAAGGTCACGATGATACCTGAAGGATAATAATTGGTTGGTTTTTTTGGGGGGTAACTGTGACTTACCGTACTAACACCCGAATTGGACAGCCTGATTAAGCCATCCGCGGCAAACCGCTTTGCTTCCGAAGGATTTAATCTTGAAAACAAAGAGCTCTTCTACAAGCACAGTGCAGTATGGCGGAGCAGTCCCCCGTACTGTAGAGCCTCACAACCCAAAATTCGATACTCTCCACTGGGAAACCTTACCAATGTATTATCATACGACGGAAGAAAAAAAGGCAAAAATTCTCATTAGACTAATAATTCGAGAGATGGCTCTCGTGCATAATAATAACTATTATCAAGTGGGAACATCAACCATCCTTCCCTCGTGTCAACAATCCCGAAAACCCCAAACCATTACTTTTGTTTGATACACCCAAATCCCATTCCAACGGAATCCAACCTCAGCCCAAATACCCAAACGGGGACGAAAGGGTCCAGCTAATCCCCAATATCATTTTCCCCAACAAGGTAAGTTAAAGTAGAAATCAAGAAATCAAGAAATGAGAAACACAATCCCAGCCAGACAGCTAAGCGTATCGGTCTCTTACATCTCCGATACAATGTGAGCGTTCAAAGCCCTATTGAAGGAGGGATCCAGGTCATCCCCAAAGTCCGAGGGGCGACCGGCGCCACTGCTAGGGCCTTCGCCATTGCCGACGGAAGCCTGGAGTGACTGCTGAAGGCTGGGATTTGAGGTGGGTAGGAAGATGACTTTGGCGTTTGCCGTCTTTGCCATTGCTTGCATTGCCTCGAGTTGACGGATCTGCATTGCTGGCGCACTGGAGAGGATATCGGCAGCCTGGCGCATCAATTTGGCTATAGAATTGTCAGCAATTAATGACGGTCAAAGCATCTTCGAAGACCTCAGATGACTTACCGGACTCAACTTCTGCCCTGGCGGCAATGATCTTGCTCTCACCGATACGCTTGCTCTGGGCGGCCATGGAAAGGGAATCCTGAAGCTCACGGCTAAAGACAATATCCTTGATCAACATGCTTTCAACGTGCACACCCCAGCCAGTCGCGACATCCTCGATTATCTCGGAAATGCTTTGGGCAAGCTCCTCCCTGCGCTCAATAACATCCTGCAAAACACGAGCACCAACCACGTGCCGAAGGGTGGTCTGTGTGCGCTCAATGAGCGCCTGTCGCACATTCGAGATACCGAAAGTAGCTTTGTGCGGCGAGTCGATATTGTAGTAGATAACAGAGGTAAGGTGAACCGTGACGTTATCCTTGGTCATACAGACCTGCTGAGGAACCTCGCAGAGTTGGATCTTCACGTCGACAGGAATGAGCTTTTCGGAAAGAGGATTGATCTTGACGAGACCAGGGTCGACTGCGCGATGAAATTTCCCAAACTTGGTAACGAGACCGACACTACCTTGGTGGACCGGCTTGTAAGGATTCGGGCAAACAATGCAACACGGGACGGCACCAAGAAATCCGATAACAGATCCCAAACCGCTAACTGATAAAGCACGTCAGTGATAGGCCAAACCATGGTTAGAATATCCGTGATGCGTACTCATAGACCCATACCATCCTGTGGTAGACGCATCGTTCGGATCCTCCTCAAGGACCTGGGCATAGGAAGGTTGCAAATCGCTACGCTTGGCGGGTTGAACCGTAATCAAAGGAGATTCAGTGTTTGTCGACCTTGCACCACCACCACCGGACGCTGAAGTAGAAGCGAGATAGCCCCCAGCACTCTCGCCGACAGGGTTCTTAGTAGTACTCATCACTTCCGAACTTTTTCCTCTCGTGGTGGTATGGGTGGTAGGTGTGGAGAAGTACGTTGAAACGAGAACAACAAGATGTTGGCGAGGGCGATCAACTGGAGTGAGAAGGGGCACCTTAATTTATACTTGGATGTGGCAGAGAGGCAAGATCCCGCACACAAACGGCACCTAGGATAACAGAAAAGTAAATGCGGGGGGGGGGGGACGGTGTGTGTGTGGAGGGGGCAAGGCAAACTGCAGTTGGCTGGTTGGCACCGGCAATGGAACAATGTGTTTAATAACAAAAACAGGGCACGATAGACCATACGGAGGTAGAGCTCCTAAGTTTTGTATGTTACACTGAGCGCAACATACAAAACTCAGGCGCTGTATCATACCTCTGCAAACTCGAGTATGATACATATGATATTAGATTAGTACCAGTACTCGAGCACTGTACTAGTATTTACAGTACATAGGATATCGGTAAATACCCTTTTCTGTTACTGGTATCATATGATGCCACAGTACGAGTAGCACGAGTACTGGGGGTTAGTGACAAGTTCAACCCAACCCAAGAAACCCAAGAAGGCAAGTGAAAGCACAGAAGCTCCAGAGTGTCCAGAGCATAGCCACAACAAATTTCTTCGAGCTCTGCCCCTTCAACCACACGCATCCATCACCATCAGCGACTTCCTCCGTCCATTGCGAAGGGATTGCCAGCATCAGCGCACAAGTACCTCCCCAATCACCATAATATAGGTATAATCACGTTACCGGTATCCAAGAAGTTCCCCATCCCCAAAATTTCCTCGGCAGAATTCCCTCCACCCAGAATACCGGTACAAATACAGTACAGTACATATCACACCACGCAACTCCCTCGCAACATCCGTTCCATCCGCCCCAAATCCCCTGCCCCAAAGCCTCATTTCTCACTCGTCCACCTTAGGAAAGAATGGAAGCCCACCCTTGCGACCACCAGGCAATCCTCACCTCGTATCACAATACGATACCTCAAACAGTCCAGGTGACAATCTTTTCAAAAGAAAAACCGGAATCCTTGCCATGACGAGTGCTGACTCAACAAGGTAACAAAGAAACCAGAGATATGTCCTATTACTCCCGAAACGGGAATACTTCGAGAATGTCCCTTGGTGCTAAGCCTTACGGCGATATCTCCGTGTCAGTCTGTTCGAGTATTATACAACCCTATACTGGAGAATACTGTGGTTGCAAGTTAAATCATGCCGTACGGAGGAAGGCATTGGCATCTGAGTACGGTACTGTGCCGGTACCGTACACGGCGCGGTGGATGGACGGCTGTGGTTCCGTCTATCGTTGGATGGAAGTTGATGCGGCGTGGACGCACAATTGGCTGGCATGGGTTGGCATGGCACAGTTACTCATCGTACTGGAAGCTAGGTGGACTTTTACCTTTGAATTCGTTTTAAAGGTTTATTGTACTGGCACAGCACGCCTCAACCCAGCCTACTCGAACACAAGCGACACACCAACAGCTTGGGGGCTGATATCTGGGTCTCCTCTGACACCCCGACCGCTATGAACATCGGCTTCCAGCATGCCGGATTATTTTACCCTATCCTACGGAGGTATATCAGGACATAAAGCTCGAAACTACGGCACGACGTTGTGCATGAAAAAAGCGATTCCCTCACCAATTCATCCACCTATATTAGCTACGATCCCTCTTCCGTGATGAATAACGAGTTCACCTGGCCCCGAACCTATTCCCGGAAGCGTCCTGGCAAAATTGATTCATTGATTCTTGAGGTGTCTTTAACACCATTTAGTGGAAAAATGGGCGTCAGCAGTCACGAATACATTGCGACCCAATCTCTCCAGCACCGGCTTCCTCAGATGTTGCAACCTCAAGCCGCAGCAAGCATTTCTTTTGTAAACTAGATTCTCCATAGTTCAAGAACTTCCCCTTTCACCTCAATGCACCTGGAAGGATGTAATCAATCACGTTCCATAGTAGTTCACGGCAAACCCATGCTCCTCCCAGGAAAATATGCATATCGATATACCAGAAGATAGTAAATCCATGACAAGTTTCCTCCTATCACACACATACATACTCGAGTACACACTCCCCCCCCCCCTCCTCCGCCCAATCCACAACAGAAGGCTGCGCGCAACTTAACCATACCTCTCCAGAACTCCTCCACTTTCCCGAACCCCATCTCCCCCCATCAAGCTCTCAACTCTCGTACCACAAAGTCTATACCCCCTGTATTGTGTGGCACACACGTGGTACCCCAGGTACCATGATTCAGGTACCGGTACAGTAACCCCCCCACCACTTCCTACCCGTAACCTCGTAGCACTTTCAAAAAAACAATTGTTATCGTATATTTATCATACCACCAAACCTGCCCTTCCGCCCGGATTGCAATAGCACCTCTCATCAGACTTTTTAACTCGCAAATGAAGTTCTTGCAGCAGTCGCAGCGCACAGCGCGCCGAGAGAAGCACTGCCCCAAAATGAGCATTTACGATCACTCCCCCCCATCCAATTATCCTCTGGGCGAACCCACCAGGAGTATCATCTCCTCCACATTATTATCATACCCTTGTAGCGCAAGACACCAACCGATACCGAAATTCTCCACCACTACCCCCGACAAGAAAGATCTGCTTGACGGAGCAGCCACCGAAGGTCCAGCAGAAAGTGCACATATCGTACTCTTGGATAAACAGCCCTGCCATTTATAGCCGGACAGCGACCCAGACAGAACCTCCCGATTTTCACTCATATACTCGAGTATACCCCCTACGCGCCAAGCTATAAAAAAAGCAAGGCACCCACCCTCCGATAATCCATGATATCAGACCATCGTGCCGATGCAGAGCTCATAGCATAAATTTACTCTAACAAATCATGAATTACCAGACTATTGAAAGGAAAAAAAGGGGCAGTTAGAAGTGTGCACTTTCAGCCGCAGCGAAGAGTGACTTCCGGTGAATTGCGATCCACTGGTATAATATTAATACTGGTATCCCGCACCATGAAATACCAATACCAGTCATGGAGTCCTATGTGGTGAAGCCGGGATGGGATGCCACTGATGAGCTATCGTATGTATAAGTTACCCTCTGGAATGGCCCGAAGAAAGAGAGCGAGAATAAACCGGGGAACTCCTGTCAACACACCAGCGTTGTCTTTCATTCGTTTACAGCAGAACCCATCGTACTCGGGGCGGGGGGCGCAGATCGTAGGCGGTCTGGTCAAGGCACCAGCAAGGCAGGCGGGCAGGCAATAGCGGGAAGCCGAGTCGAGTGATGTCTTATAAGATACCGCTACCCAGGTTACTCATTTGCTGAACCATGGGCAGGATCATCGCGATCCTGGGTAGACCAATAACAAGTGCTGCGCCAGCTCTGGTCTGGTTGGGGGTTTGAGGCTAATGGCTTTTTCGTGGAGAAGTGCTGGTAACTTACTGGCTAAAATTTGGTGAGTGTAGGCAGAGTATGATACCGCTCAGTACTCAGTAGACTACGATACAGTACTCGATTACTAGCACTTGTACAGTACAGTACAATACTCCTCCTGAAAACTGCCACGGTGGGTCACAATGTACCGCCCCGTGAGTGGCCCAAGAAGCCTGCGAGCCAATCGCACCCCTTCCCCTCACATGTCCCCAACTCCCCTCCTGGCACCGCAACGGTTTGGTGGTAGGAGAGATTAACGGTTCTACTCGGTCTCCCGCCACCAATCACCCAGCAAATCACAGAAATGTTCTCAAGGCCCTGCTGTATCATACGAAGTACTCGAGCACCCGAGCACTGCACCAACCCTTGAAATCAGAGAATCCCACTATGACCTTTCCCCAAACCTCCAGGGTATCTATTACCGGTAGTCCCAGCGATTTCATCAAGTTATTGCGATACCGTAGCTTCCGGCAAACCCCAACTCTCCGGAAAAACATAAACACTTTATCCAAACCATCCGATGTCCATCCCACCTCCCCATCCCCACCGCCCCGCCCTTCCGCTCTCCGGTCTATCCTACTGGTCTATACTGCTCCGTTCCGTCACCTCACCTTCACTCTTCGCGCTTCCTTCCCCCCCTCTCCCTACCGCTCCTGATCTCCGTGAGAGAGCTCAACAGGCGGACAGACAGAATGAGCGAACCAGTTCCAGAAGTACTCACCATCGAGGAAATATATCCTCCAGAATTCGGAGCCGCTCAGAAGCAACGATGGGAGCACCTTTTGGCAAAGTTTGAGGAGAGGTATGGCGCCCCGGCGGACTACGTTGCCAGAAGCCCTGGGAGGGTGAACATCATCGGGGAAGTAGGAACCCTCCTTTCCTCCCCCTGAATATCCAAATACTGACAAAACTACCCAGCACATCGACTACATGCTCTTCTCTGTCCTTCCTATGGCTGTGAACTCCGACTTTCTCCTCGCAGTGCGCGCGATTCCAAATACCAATACCATCAAGATCGCCAACATCTTGGAGAGATACCCCCATCGCGAATTCCAGGTTCCCGCAGAGGGCGAGCTAGAAATCGATGCTGCGCAGTTAGAATGGAGCAATTACTTCAGAGCCGGGCTCCGTGGAGCTCTCGAGCTGCTCCGAAGGAAGGGACTCTCACCGAAAAACGTTGGGATGGAGATCCTTGCTGATGGAAATGTCCCTCCGGGAGCTGGGCTTAGTAGCAGTGCTGCTTTTACCTGCTCTAGTGCTTTGGCGTCCCTGACGGCGATGGGGGATGGGACGGTTGATAAGAAGGAACTTGTTAATTTGGCGGTGGTGTCGGAGAGATATGTTGGGGTCAATTCTGGGGGGCAAGTGCTCTGCTCGGTCTTTCCTGGGGGTTAGAGAAGGATCTAATGACAATTTGGCGGTGGACAGAATGGATCAATCGGCCTCCGTTCTCGGAGACCAAGGCAGCGCATTATACATCTCTTTCCACCCAACCCTCGATGCAATACCCGTAGCATTCCCGGAGACCACCCCAGAGCTCACCTTCGTCATTGCCGACACACTCGTCGCGGCGGACAAGCACACCACAGGGCAGATAAACTACAACCTCAGAGTAGTAGAGTGCACCCTCGCTGCGCAGATCCTAGCCAAGAAACTGAACCTGGGCCAACTCCCGGAAGATGCCGGGCCACTGGGTAACTCCTTCAAAGGCCTCATGGACAAGTACTTTCTCGGAAAAGACCTCCCACTTGACAAGAAATTGGAGAAACTCATAGAAGACACGAGGGAATACCTAGGCAAAAAAGGCTATACAAGGGAAGAAATAGCCGAAACTTTGGATCTAACAGTAGGAGAATTAGTCCAACGTTGCATGACCAAATTCCCCAGTAAATTCCCCCCCCCCCCCACCTCTTCCTCTCCACAATTACCCAATTAACAACCCCTCTAGTCCTCGCAAGTCATTTCCAACTCGGCTCCCGTGCCCTGCACGTCCTCCAAGAAGCCCACCGCGTCGTAACCTTCAAAGCCCTCCTCGACTCCTGCACCGCCTCCCCACCATACCCCACAGATACCAAAATACCTATCCAACTCGGCGCCATAATGAACGAATCCCACGAGTCCTGTAAGAACCTGTACAACTGCTCTTGCCCTGAACTCGACACGCTGTGCGAGATCGCGCGCTCAGCGGGCTCGTACGGATCCCGTCTCACCGGCGCTGGCTGGGGTGGCTGCAGCGTGCACCTTGTCCCGCAGGATAAAGTCCACGCGGTGAAGGAGGCTTGGAAGAGAGAGTATTACGAGAAGAAGTTCCCGGGGATCTCCAAGGAGAGGGTTGAGAACGCGATCGTAGCTAGTAAGCCTGGGTCTGGGGCAGCTTTGTTTCGGGTGAGGAAGTGAGCGAGTAAGGGATTCGGGGGGGGTTGGAATGTTATAATATTATAATATCATCCACCCTTCGCTTTTCGGGGCTTCGGCGGATTGCTGAGGTCTATAGCTTCAGAAAACAATTCCCCCACCCACCACTACGGTAGCCACCTCCCAACAGCTAAGAACCAACTCAGAACGAGTGACACCCCATGACCCAGAAAACTATACCCACGACAATAAAGAAGAAAAAGCCAACATTCCCCACCCCCACCATCCACCAGAACCAGAGGAACCACCCAAACCGAGCAAATTCCTACCCCAAGCATAAACAGGACAAGGCGTCAACTGGAAACCATTGCGCGCTGTTCTGTTTTGATTCCAGTGTGATGGGTGATGGTCACGGTCTGAGAGTTTGGAATTGTTTTTTTTTTTCTCCTCCATCATACGGGTGGTTTGTTTCACTTTTTGTTTCGAGATATGATACGTATTTGCTTTTCTTCACACACACTTTTTTTTTCTTTTTTCTTTTTGGGAAGTCCTCTTGATATCGGATTATGATGATAATGGCGATAATAATAATAATAATAATAATAAATTGAAATCCCAGAAAGATAGAAACGGAGAAGGAAAGGAGGAAGGAAGGAAAGAAAGAAAACGTTGTAGTATATGATATTCCCATTTTACAAGGACTTTTCATTCCAATTCAGCGTCTTGCCCTACTGTATCCAATACTACCGCACCGGTACTTTATCCTATCCATCCAAAGTAAAGTAAAAAAAGTATAAAAATAAAATATAAAAAAAGAGGTCTCAAGCACAGAATTGAACAGAATCGGCGAAGAGGAACAAGAGAAAGACTAAAAAAAAAAACCCACTAACTTTACTACTTCATGAACGGAAACAAAAATGAAAACATGAAAAGGAAAAAAAAACCCCACTTTTTATTCATCATTCATCCTCCCATCCCGAAACTCCACTCCCACCTCCATCACCTTCGCCATTCCTCGTCGCCCCATTCGAAAAATCCAGTTTTGTAAGGTACTCTGGCGGAACCGAAGGTTGATACTTTTTTTCCCTTTCACGATTCATCCCGCCTAACCCAGCGCCATAGGATATGAGCATATCTGTATTCGTCGGTAACGAGAATGGCAGCATGAGGCCTGGGTCTAGTAGTAAATTCTCCGGAGCGTCCTCTTCGTCTTCGTTTATCACTATGGTAGGGTTGCTATTCTGTGGGGGCGACGGTGGGAGTTGGTTTTGGCCCAGTGTGTTGCCGGCAACCGGGGATACGGGGGTGTTATTCGCCGAATTCCCCTTTTTAGGCGTGGTGGAAAGGGATTTGGCCCTGTTGTGGCTCTTGTCGTAATTCCTCATCTTGAGTCCGACTAGATACTTCATTCCTTCTCTGGGAAGTCCCTTCTCCCCAACTTCTGGTCTGTAGTTCTTCGTCGAGTGGAGGAGTTGTTCGGGGTTTAAGTGCGTGAGCTGGCTAATTGTTGATTTTAAAGCGTCAAAGTCTTCGCCCAGGGAACTAAAGCATTGGAGCCATTGCAGGAGTTGGATGACGGGTACTAGATGGCGCCTTGCTGCATCAGCCACGTTCTCGCCGCTAGCCGCGAGCGCTCCGCTCTCATAGTGCTCCGGCTGGCGATTGTTTGTCCGCGCCCAGTCTTCTAGTATTGAGACATTAAGGCGGATTTGCATTGCTTTTGTCCGAGCGAGGTATTTCCGATTGGACATGATGCGATTGAAGAGCTCTGCACCGATCCAGTAGAATAGTTGGCTCAGAACTTGTGAAATGATTACTGAATGGATGTCATACAGATCCAGAACAAACAATGTAGAAGATAGCAGGGAGGTGATATTGCGGGGAGCGGGCTTTGCCCGCTGCTTTGGAGATGGCGGTCGGTACCGCTTCTCAAGCATTGAGGGTTCAGGCGATTTCCGCTTGGGCTTGAACAGCCGCCATTCATTCTGAAAATGGACATCCTCAAATCCTGGGATAGTCTCATGATCTAGCATTGCCTGGTCCATCACTCTATCCATCCGTCTCTCAGCATCCCGCAATATGAGTATAAATATCTCGTTTATCAACTCTGAGAGATGCTGCTGGAACTCAATTGTGGCACCCACCAGGCCAGCGTCCTTCTTCAGATAATGAAGCAAAAGATTTGCATTGGAAATCCAAAACGCAAGAATAGTCATATCCAGCTGATGCATTTCTACCACATTATTAATCTTATCCATTGCAGACAAGAGAAGCCGGGACAAGAGTTCAGGTGAGCTATGGTAATGCGCATACCGAGCGCTAAGAAACAGAACATTTGCAGGAACAGGCTTCTGGCTCGGTGACCGCTGCGGTAACATATTGGTTATGACAACATCCAGCATCCGGTTCAATTCGTGCTCTTGGAAGACAAACATCTGATCGTTCAGACACTTATCCCACACAAAGTCCTGGAGTTCATCGCCCTCCTCATCTCCGGGCGACTGTCCATGGGTTAGCCCAAATCCGCTAAACGGCCCAAATCCTCCAGGGATTATCCCTGATCTCACCTCGGGCTGCTCGTCAAGCCCTAAGCTCGAGAGGTCCACTTCCAGATTGATTGCACTCTCCATCATCATCCTTCGCTTCATCTCATTCTCTGCCATTTCCTCCTCGAACCTCTCTTGAGCCAAGCCGTTGTCGTAAAAGTCATCACTAACACCTGCCGTGCCAATATACCCACTCCGATGCAGATAGTCAGATATCTCACTGTTAGGTGACACAAAGTCAAACGCTCTTCTGCCCGAAGAGCTCCGAATCTCTGGTGATGCGCCATGATCTAGCAGCAGTTTTGCTATCCCTTTATGCCGGTTCGTCATAGCCCACATCAATGCGCTCCACTGGTGTCTATCTTGTTGGTCAACGTTGGCCCCCGCATCCAACAGAGCGGAAACAACATCCTCATGTCCCTATTCCGAAAAAAGGAAAAAAGGGAAAAAATAAAATAATCAGCCCTCATCCTCTTTGCACGCGCCGGAAGCAAAACACGAAACGTACGAAGCAGCTTGCATATATCAGCGGGCTTGTCCCTTCCTCATCTGGCGCATTAACGTCCACATAACCCTTCCCTTCACCCTCCAATATTCTCCGTATCCGAGCCTCATCTCCGCTACTGGCAGCCATGTTGAGCGCCTTCTGTAGTGACTCTCTCTTCTCCTCCTCCGAAAGATTCGGGTTACGAACGATGTCGTCCACGTCCCCCAGACCCGACCCACCCATCCGGAATGCTTCTTGAGCTGCCAACATAGAAACAAGCCTACTGTCACTATCCGCGATACCCTTCACCAACTCGTCGTCGTCATCGCCATCACGGTAGTCCGGGTCGAGATTGAAATTTAACCGGGCGGGGACGGGTGCGGTTATGAATTGAGCTTCGCCTGTTGACCAGAATTCAGGCATTGAGCCACAGTTAGCTTCCTCATCCCTGGTAAACTGAATTTGAACATGAATCCCAATTTCCGAAGGGGAGGGAACCGAATCAGGAGCTGTGTGAGGAGGAATGACGAAAAGATACCCTCTGCGGGGTCAAGACATCACCGGGGTAGTTGGTAGAAGCAGATGATAAGACTATCAAAGACATCAAGAGAGGGGCTGGCCAGTCACTGTACCTTGCCAGGCATCGTAAACTTCAGTCTCAGTAGCGAGAGGTGGAGTCCTCCGTCGATCGTTAAGAGATCTGGGAAGATCCGGGGGCAGAACGCGAGGCCGTACAGTGCCGACATCGAAACTGTTGTCGTCGTAAGGATCCCCCAAATCCATCTGGCAGAAGGGAACAGAGAGACTTGTCGGTAATTCGACAGCTTTATTGGGAGAAGGCGGTGAGGATTAAAGGGATAGGATAGGTAGGTGGACGAGCTTCACCTTCGCTTTCTCCCTTCTTTATGGTTGATACTCTGCGGAATAATGCTGCAGCGGGTCACTCTCATGCCCGAGCTGCCAAGACAACCACTTTTTTTTTTAGCTTCGCCCCATCGGTTGTCGTCTCCTCACTCACACAAGCTCCCTTCCCTTTCCCGTAGAATACTTCTGACCGATGCAAGACTATCCCGATGCAACGGAATATTCTATTAACCTTCTATGATATTTTGTTACTTGAATTGAAGAGGAATTCAAAAATCACACCGTTCACTCACAACACCACATAATACCATACCCATGCAAAACCCTCACTTCACTCACATCTTTGTCTGACATGCCTCATGGCTTATATTCAAGTTTAATCCCAATCGCTCCATAGAGCCGGGAACAAAGTGGTCAAAGCAAACCCTGGTCCCACCAAGAATGAACACGAAAGGAATCCGCACAGCCTCAGGCCGCCCATTCCTCACCCTCTGGATACAATATCCCCCCCGATGCTCCCCTGATTTTTTTTGTCCTTGTTTCTGTTTTTGAAACATCTTTAATCATCCAAATGCATTCAACATTCACACCATACAATGTTGCACCAAATATACAAAGAATCTGCCGACAAGGCAGCAAAATCCTGAGTGTCCCCACAACCATAGCTCGTATTCCAAAATGCACACTTGTCCCTACCCATCATAGCCCTCGCACACCGACACCTCAGATATGCGGTTCTGCAAGCACAAGATGGGCCAAGACAAATCACGCATCTCATTTCATTCTATCAGTCACGCCTGATAGAGCAATACTTACTCACCCATTTTCCATACTATGCTCATGCACTAGAAGTGCTTAAGCTCTTCCCCGCCCCGACTTTCTCAGCGTCAGAGATGAGATGTCGTGATCTACCGGAAAAGCCGGCCGGTAGGCACTGCATACACCGTACCGAGTTCTTGACGTTCTCACTATGCACTGAACATTGTATGGTGGGTGAGTAAGCTCTTTGGTGTTTCACTTGGTGAGGATGGTGTAGTACCCAGTATGATATGACATGATAATGTCCTGTAGTGCACTGCCGGTAGTTAAATGTTAGTGAGGCGAAGCAGTGTGATTGGCTCGTGGGCCACTTCGCCCACTCAGAGAGCGACATATCCTACCGTAGAGCTACTGTGGCAGTACTAGTAAGGAGCTCCCCCCCCAAAAAAAAAAGAGAGAGAGAGAGAGATCCAAGATTGGCCCTTCGTCTGGTTACACTCACAAAGCTTTAGCCAGTGAAAACTGAAATCCCCAGTAGCGTACGAGTGGCGGTGCTAAGTTGGATGCTTCCGTAATGGTATGTTCGAAACGGTATCGTGAATCGCAGCGGTTGAAATATATGGTCATAATATCATATGATTGGATGGTAGTGCAGTGTTTTAGCATGACATGTCTTGGGTGACCAACACCCGCTGTCCACTACGGTAGACTTGTTTTGTTTGATATGTGAAGGCTTGGTAGATGGTTTTTGACGAGTGATGGGCTGTTATCACGGGTTCCGGGTTGGAATGGTTGGTCCTGCAATGGCCATTAGTCTCAAGCTGGCGGAAGAGGAATCGTGCCTGGGTGAGGATCGCACGAGCTGGTACGATAAAGCTCTTGATATCCCTCCGGGGACAGTCTACTATACGGTACTGTTCGGAGGTGCGGAGAGCTCACCTTCCCACAAAGGCCAGAGGTTCTAATAACTTTCCCTTTTATTCTCTCTCACGCACTCTCTCTCCATAAACCTGGTTGGTTCCCGATAAAATGACTACCCTTGGCACCGGGAATAACGACCCGAGGTGCAATAATATTATACCAATGGATGACCTCCCATTAAGGTTTAGAACAAATTTTTTTTCCAAATTCCAACCGGCCTCATCCTTCATGTAAACACCACTGCTAAAAATTGCCCGAATGAACTTTGCCTCCGAATATTGAAACATTATCAATCAAATCCTTGCAAGCGTAAATATCACACCTGCAGCGTTTTTGTTAGATAAAATTTACAAATTCATGCCTGCCTGCAAGAAGTCATCCAATAGATAGTGGTAATACAATCAACTCATTTCTTTCCCATTCTCGAGAGAGAGAGAGAAAAATGAGATGAGCCACTTCAAACTACCAGAGCATGAACTACAGTCTACTTACCGTAGGTGAACGAGCAGGTCCCATCATGCCACTCTTGCAGTGGAGTAACAATAAGTATAGAAATTTAAGATTTGGCCACGTCGATCCCTGGAGTGAGATTTGGTACTGACTCTGGCTACTGTGCTCCGCTGTAGAACCTTAATTGAGTGTTACTGCGGGCATCTCGGTCCAAATGCCGCAGATTATGTAGTGGCAAAGCAGCCAGGCTCGCCTCTCCCACTCCCACTCCCCCCACCGCCCCTGCCCTCTCTACTCTCCAGCCCTCCCAGAGAGTCTGCCTGCTAAAAACTCCAGATATGCCTTTCCGAGTGACAACGCGTGAACGCCTCTTTCTGTCCCATCCCTCCACACCCACCACCACCAACAGCAGACATGCTCGAGTACCGTATTGTCAGAAACAAAGGTAGCACTTGTCGACAAGCACGGCTCAAAGCCCATCAGACAGTTTATTCATTTGCGGATGCGGCACGATGCACAAATGAGATTGTTAGGGGCATAAATCAGTCAAGTCAAAAGTGCTTACTTCGGACTACTCTTATGTATTTTTTTTTTCCTATGATATCTCTTTGCCACTGTTCCCCCTTCCGAGTAAACATCGCCGGAAGGGAAGTGCGAAAGGGGGGGGGGGCACGTTGATTGAAGTTGTGTTGATGCGATTGCGTGGGTTCCGGCTCTTGTGGGAAGGGGGATTACGGTATCATATGAAATTTTTACCACCGAGAGTTATTTCTTCTCCAGGGGGGATATCCTGGACTCTACTTGTACTCGTACTCGTACATAGATTTATGGCGCAAGGCGGGGACAGAATAGAATAGAATAGAATAAAAATAAAATATAATAAGATGAGAATCATGAGAGCAGGCGACCAACTACCGTTAACGTTTAACGGGGAGGGGAGGAAAAGGAAAGGGTATCTCCTCCTGTGCTTTGAGCTGTCAAGACGCCAAGCGAGCGACCGTTTGGGAAGAGTTTTTGCTTTAAGGGGCCCAATCAACGCAAGTTTGGCCCCAAGTGGAACGAAAGGCCGTGCGAGGAACACCCAGGCAGGATAAGGGGTTGTCTGCTCAGTGGAAATTGCGCTGCGGGCGAAGAATCGAGATCGGTCAGCGAGTAGAAGGGTCATCCCGAAAGAGGGTTCCCAGGGAAAGGATGAATTCGAGAGATGCATGGATGGGAACGGATGGATGGGGGCGGATGGAGGGGTGTGCTGTATTGGTGGGTGATAGGTGATGGGTGCACTTGCACAGGCACAACAGCAATGACCACCGTAGGAAGGTAGCCAAGCAAGTGCGGTAACCAGGTGGAAGAAATACCGGTAGCAACAAGAAATAAAGTACCGCTCTTCGTCAAAGATGTATAATGGTACCGGTGTTCGAGCATAGCAGCGGAGGGCAGGTATGATAGAAGGAGGGGGGGGGGCAAGCCTTATTATTATGGTGCCTTGCATTCCCTCTTGTTTCTCCTTGCTTTTGTTCTACTTCTTCTGCTCTTGCCCCTCATCGTCGTCTGGTTTTCGCTTTCGCCCTCATTGTTATGATACTGACGACGGTTACGAGGCTCTAGTACTATTGGTGGAGAGGTTGTGTACCGCGTATCATAGGGCACCTGGGTGTGTATTCTTCATACCTACGCCACCTACGGCACCTGTACCGGTACTTGACTCCCATCCATCCTCTCCTTCCTTCCTCCCCCTTAGTGGTAAAAGATACGGATAGCGTGTTTCTCATTAAATTTTGCATCCAAATAAAGAAATATCATTGCTTTCGTCTGACAGCTTCCTAGAATTCAGCACATCCTATTTCTCCCCCGGGGAGCGAACCAACAGGAGGAGAATCAACTTTGTGGGCGAACCAACGAAACCCCCGTACCTGGAGCTGCAGCCTTCAGTTGGCAAGCCACAACATCACCGAGCGTCGCTGCCCTCCCTTTCTTTCAAGGCAACGCACACACTCTCTCCCACCAACCGCAGCTTTTCATCTTTATATTCCGCCACTGTTTCTACTTTCATTACCGGGACGCTCAGCAATATCCATCCCTTGTTAAATTGAGGATCTCGCCCGGTTTTCGGTGGACCACAGTACCAAATCACACTCAATCTGCTGGTATTACACCGGTATCATTTTCGGAAATAAAATCCTAAATTTAGAAAAGAATCATAAAATAATATATACATCGCTCTAGGAAAAAAAAGGGAAAAGAAAGGTCAATTTCACCAAGAGCCTATTCTAATAACCAGGGGAAAAAGAAAAAAGAAAAAAGAAAAAAGAAAAACAGCTATGGGCGGCGATTCATCGCCCCACAAAACCCCTCCTCATCCGCCCGCACGGACACCGCTGGTCTTACCCCAGAATGCGGCGATGACCTCGATGACGACTCGTCCTCAATCTCAACCTACTCCTCCTATACCGAACATGAGGTCAAATCCTATACCACCAACTCCCACAGATGCAACGAGCACTCAACAACCACCTTTGATGTACCACCTGAGGGCTCGCTCGTCAGAGTCCTTCTGTCAACGTGATACTGGCCGTGCATCCGCCTTTTCAATGTCACCTGACCCGGCCTTCCACCGCGTGCGAATTAACAATAGTACCCCTTCGGCAGTGCTACAGCCGAAGTCTTCACCGACTCCTTCAAGACCTCACGGAGGTCCAGCATCAATAACAGACGCGAAATCTGTTCGGAGCTTGGCGGCGGCGTCAACGATATCGCCTGAGGATGAGGTTCTTAGTTTGAAGGTTCGCTCGCTGTACGATTCTGGAGTAGGATTAGGGGGAAGTGATGCCGAGAGTCTGTTTTCGAAACGGGTATCGAGCATCTTGGAAGAGGGTGGGAAAGGGGGAAGTAAGGTTACGCGCAATAGCCATGTGGCAAGGAATTCGCAATCTGGCGATGAGGCTGAAGGAAGGATTAGTTTGGCTGTGGATAAGACCGAGAGTCCACTGCTTGGTAAGACAGAGGAACCACTTGGTGGTCCGACGGAGGAAGAGGTCAAACAAAGTGTCGATAGACCGAACGGTTTGGGAATTACATCCATGGAGAGGAGCGAATTTCTTTTAGCTGGAGGAACGGAGGACTGGGAGGATCTTAACGGGGGAGACGTGGACCGGTTTGTTTAGCTCTTTCTTTTTAAAGTCCTTTTCTTTCCTTTCGTCGCCCTCTTCTGGCTACCCGTACCAGTGTTTTTGCAAAAGCGCTGTGGGACGTCCTATGTTTCCTTGGACGTTTTCGAGACGTTGCACTGTTTTTGCTTTTTCCTTCAGCTCATCCCCGATCTTGGAATCTCACTCGGAACCCCTGGTCACACATCACGTGATATAGAAACTAGAAATTAACCCACGATGTGAAACTAAAGGTACGGCTTCATCGATCAGACGTACGCACCGTCTACACCGAACCCGGCCTTCCCTTCACCAAACCCCCAGACAAGATCTTCAGCTTTCGTCCCCCCAAAGCGTATCTCCACAGCACTACACCTGCACTCGACGGCCCCTCAAAAGCGGGCTCACCACTTACAAATCAAGCTCTCCCCCTTTGCATCATCTGCATCAGAGATGCTGCGCTCGCCGCTCCCCGGCGCAACAGCTACTCTCCACGCAAAGGAGAATAGCAGATCTAAGAAGTGGCGGGAGATGGCTGTGGTTCGGAAGAGAGGGGAGCGGGGAGAAGAAGGAGGTAAAGGAGGGGGAACAGAATGGGGATTCGTCACGGTGGATGCTAAGTTGATTAGCAGAACTTGGAAGGGGATTCCAGATTGTTGGAGAGCGGCGGCATGGCATGCGTTTTTGACGGCAAGCGCTAAGAGACGTGGGATTGGGAGGAGTGACACTGAGTTAGTGACGATATATACTGTTGGTTTCCCTGCCTTTTTTTTTTGTTCTTTGATACTGTGTAGAGGGCTCCCCACATTGCTTGGGTAAGACACCGCGCCAGAGGCTAGGTGGAAAAAAAAAACCGGGCTCGGCTGAACTAACTACTCCCCTCACGGACAAGAGGTTCCCTCGGGTGGGACTCTTCTGCAATATATGTTGCTGAAACAGCGGCTGGAAAAAGTATTACATTGGTGGTGTGGTGGTACGCACGACAATCCCCAAAGAGCCTTTCCCGGTTTCGCAACTCATTGTTCTGCCCAGGGGTCACATAATCAAGCCCCTACGCTATCAAAATCACAGCAAACTGCCCCAAGTACCAGGTCTCAAAAACATTGATCTAATTTAACTTTTTGATTGAATACAGGATTTCATAGAACGGCCATCAGCAGATGACGTCCAGATAGACCTAGACGTTCCTCGAACAATTAGTTCCCACATCATGTTCCGACGCAGGTATCGCGGCGGCCAACGTCTCCTCTTCCGCACCCTCCACGCCCTCTCACTCTACTTCCCAGAGGTAGGCTATGTTCAGGGAATGGCGAGTCTAGCGGCAACACTGCTGTGCTACTACGATGAGGAGACAACCTTCATAATGCTGGTGCGCATGTTCGAATTGAGGGGATTGGAGAAGCTTTATCAGGCTGGGTTCGGTGGATTGATGCAAGCCTTAGACGAGTTTGAGGGCAGTTGGATGAAGGGTGGACAAATTAGCCGGCGATTGGTAAGATAGATTCCCACCTCTCCTTACAAATCTCCCTTCTTTCACCCTTTGTGAAAATCATGCAGGGGAACCGCCCCCGAAGTTTCAGGACAGGGGTGGCGCGGAAAAGAGTCTGAGGCTTTTTTTTGCGAGCAAGAGAAGAAAGGAAAGAGGGGAGGAAGACAAAGGCTGCTACCGCACAGGCAGTGGGTGAGCGGTGGTGCTGGTGGTGAAATGAGGCCACCAGGACTACAACATCGGGACGGGATTTTTTTTCTTTCTTCGCAACCGTTGAACCGAGCCCCGCACCATCACCATCACCACCACATCACCCCTTCGTGCGGTAGGGGTCGAGATCTTCACCTCCCCTTACCTTTGCTTCGCCAGACCTAGGCCCTAAAGAATAGAAGTCAATCAGTAAGGGCGATGTACAAGCCCACTCTCGGAAACTCCCAACCATCCCCAATGCAGCCCCGAACTAACCAACCTGCAACCTCCGCCATCCGTCCGGTTACTGTGTACAGTAGGAAAGGAGAACAGACAAAGTAACTTAAACCAGCTAACAAATCACCCGCAAAACAGACAAGCCTAGGTGTAACCCCAACTACCTACGGAACACGTTGGTACCTAACCCTTTTCAACTACTCGATGCCCTTCGCAGCCCAACTCCGGGTCTGGGACGTCTTCATGCTCCTCGGTGACCCGGACCCAGCCTCCAGCGCCGTCACCCCCGCCTTCAGTGGGAGTCTGGACGTCCTACACGCAACCAGCGCCGCTTTAATCGATGGGATGAGGGAGATCCTGCTCAAGAGTGACTTTGAAGGCTCCATGAAGGTGCTGACCAGTTGGATTCCGGTAAAGGATGAGGAGCTGTTGATGAAGGTCGTTAAGGGGGAGTGGAAGGGGAGGAGAAAGAGGAGGTCTAGGGGTGGCGGGAGTGGCGGAGGTGGTGCTGCCAGTGGGGGAGGAGAAGGGGGAGGAGGTGCGAGCCCGGTGCCGCAGTCTTAGTAAGAGGGTGACGATGAGATACAAGGAGAGAGAGAGAGAAGGCGGGGAAGGAGGAAGAGAGAGGAAAGTGAAGTCTCCTCGAGCTTGATAGTACCGGTATGGCTGTGTGTGCTTCTGCCTTGATCTATGCGTCCGTCTACCTGGCCCGGCCTTGACTCACTTGCTCTCACCCCCTCACGTTCCGCAGCTTGTCTGTCCACGGATGGATGGGTGGATGGATGCACAATACACAATCAATCGGTCACACCCACAACCCTGCCCATCCATCCACCCATCCATGGGAAAGCAGCAGCAATCCCAGAGTTTGCATTATACTGGGGTGGCGTCCGACCCCTCTTTTTGGAAAAACCACCACCACCATCACTCCAGTTTGCTTTTCCTTGCTCCGCTTTCTCTACCGTATCTGCGAGTTGCCTCTCTTTCTTTCCACCTTTGTCTAGTTTTTTCTCACTCTCTTGCCTTACTTCCTAATGCACAATCACCAATCAACATATTTGTTGGCTCTAATGGCGACACATGGCTTTTTTTCTACCCTTTCCTTCCCTTTCCCTTTCTTACTTACTTGCTATCGTTATTTTCTTATTCCATTTGCAACCCCTCGTTCCTTTCCTTCCTCCGCACCCATTGAGAAATGGAGGGTGCAAAAGTACTTGTTGCATAACATGGGGGAGGGGGTTTTCACTTGCCCTTTACTTTTTTTTAATTTTTTCTTTCTAATTTTTTCTTTTTCCACTCGACTGCTATGACTACGGTATTGCTGTCTGTCATATCATATCTGAACGAATGAATGAATGAACGGGATGGTTTTTGCTCGGCAAGGATGGATGGGTTTGTGGGTGGTTGTTATTTTACTTTTTTTTGCCTTTTTTTTTCGCTTCAAGCTTCGTTATGCTTGACTTGACCTACCGGTATTTGGCTGGTGAGATTGGATGGATGTGTGCTCGGTATTGCATGGTATGGTATTATATTCATTTACTTACCACGTACTTCTTCGCCTTCGCACTATTGAATTCTTGTCTGGTGTTTTTTTTTTTTTGGCTTTATAATGCTTATCTTCGTGTCTTGTCTGTTACGGCACGTCCAAATGGTAAACTTTTTTTCTTCCTTTTCTTTCCTTTCATGGCTCCTTCTAACTCGGCTTTGGTGATGGGCGTTTTTTATTCTATTCTTCATTCTACCCTTCTCCTCTTGCTTTTGATAGTACAAACTTACCTTTTTCTATTCTCTTAGCTCTAGAATAATCGCCTTAGCTCCTTTTTAATGCAAAATTAAAAGGTTTTTTCCCCCCCTTCCATTTCACCCCTAATTGTCCTATTTCACAGTCCGCTGATTCATACGTTATCACCCAACGATCACCAGTACCGGTATTCCCATCGCAATCCTGAACCCGTCGAGTGGCGTAGAGCAAAGTAGAGTGTGGCGATTATTAGAGGAGGAAAAAAGAAAAAGAAAAAAAAACTGTTGCACTCGAGTAGATCCCGAAACCTGACACCTCATCCTTCAATCCTTTCCCCCGGCCGCTAAATCCCCAGGATGATCCATGCTTGTCAAATTGCGGCTGACATGGGCACAGCATTGTGGGGAAGGGAGTGAAAAATGATTTGAAAATAAGAAAATAAATAAAAAAAGGTAACAATGTACGAGCACAGTACGAGTACTGTACTCGTACCTTTCTCATCGGCATGACCGTAGCGATATGATCATATCAGCACGGCGCGGCACAGACAAGCGAGGCCGACCCAATTCACTTTATAATGAGTGACACAGCCTCATACCCCGAACTCTTCTTCGGATTTGCGCCAAGTGTAAATTTAATAGCGATGGGAGGGGGTCAACGATCAGAGGGGACCAAACAAAATCGCCATTTGCCAAGACACTTTTTAGTCCACCGTCCGCTGAGCCCCCCCTATTCGTTGACCCCCTCCTACTCGTATGCTAGTTGGAGCGCGCTAGTGTTGGTACTCGTACAATACCAATACTGGTATCCACACTCACTATTACTTACTAACTACCGTAACGACAACGAGGACTTCAAAGGAATGTACGGTACTCCAGCAATTGTGGTTCGCACACTACCGTACAATAACAGTAGGATTCTCAGCCAGGTCTGCCCGTCGTACCTGGGGGGTGCCGGTTTCATGTATAGTGCTTGGTCGCTTGCTTGCTTAACTTACGGTACTCGAGTACGGTACTCGTACTTGCTGCTCCAGCTCGTATGCAGGACATGCAGTGGTTGAAGTGAGGAGCCAATACGAGTGTGCAGAAATGGCGGGATGATTGGTTAAACGACGAAATAGGGAAACCCCCCCCCCCGCATTGGCGGCAAACGGGTTGGTGTTTGGGTGAGAATGATTTCGCCCAACTGGCTCCTATCGGTACGAGTACTTCTCTGGCCTATCTTTGCTTTGGACATGTGGATGTTTCTGCTTAGAGTCTTCTGGTTGACGGCACCGAAGTGGTGGTTGGGGCGGTTGTGGGTAGGTTGGGGAGGTTTCGATTCCTGCGGTGATGGGGGATTCGCTCGGTGGGTAATTCCTGAAGGCTGTGTGGGTCATTCTCGGAGATGATCGATGCTATCTGCACGATTTCTTGTCTGGGTTTTACAATATTTCAGGCGGTTAATGATTATTTATTATCCTGAATGACGCTGTTTTTTGGTGGAAAATTGTCTTGTCCTACTATTTTCTTCACTTGTGTGGACCCGGCCATAGGAGGATAAGTAGTGAATGGATTAATGGAATTATGCATGTGGTATGCACCCCTCCCTTTATCGTCCAATGAAGGGTTAGAAGTGATTATTACCGTGCCGTAGAGAGGGAGAAGAGAGAAAGTGTCGTGTGTCGTGTGCATATATAAACCGGTACTGGCTCACTCGAGCGGTGTGAGACCCGAAATTGGGTGAATCTTTGGAATAAGTGCCGGTAGAGTATTGTTCCCGGCCGGGAGGAAATTGGTGGGAGTGTGGGATTTGCGGGAGGTGTCGGTGTAGCTCTACGAGTATGGTGTTGGGAACTGATGGTCATTGACCGCGAGATCTTTGGAAATGGGTGTTCCACGCTGTACTGTACTCGAGTAGTCGGGTTAGGGTTGGATTAGGGTTTGACACTGATATTGACGGCCGGTGTATCGTACAAGTGGACTAACGGCTGTCAAGGGTGGTTCAAAAGAAGGCTTGAAAGGGGGAACCTGGCTTGGCCGTCCAAAAAGGCATTCATCGCCATGTTATCCCTTGACCAGCAAGACATTGAAAATGTCGCGCCACCTCCGCCAGTTTTCTGAGACATAGATGACTAACGCGAGTTTGACTCTGTACCTTGGTATTCCAGTGATTGTCAGCATTGTGCGGATCGCAGGCGCGGTCATATACGGCAGTGAATATTAGCTGTGGTCTAAAGTCTACTTAAGTACCCAATAGACTGCTTTTTAACCTCCGCCTCGAGCGTTGACAAGGGCAGCACGAAATTTTCAATGGCTTACCGGTCCAGGAGCTAGAATCGCATTGCCAGGTGGTATTGGGGCGTCAGCTACGCCCAGGGGTTCGCATCTGCGGGGTCTGTTCTTCGGGGATTTTGCAAAGAAGGCCTTCCGTGATTGAACACGGGGGGTTAGAAGTTGGGATAGAAAGAGGGGGTGCTATAATATCTTAGTAAGCGAAAATAGCAAGAAATATTCATGAGGCATGAGGTTCTTCAAGCAACTGAAGGATATTTGTAGGACGTATAGGAACTTTCTGCTTCTTTTGTTGTAATTTTATTTGTTTCTTTACCTTCAACCCGCTTCAAATATCATTGTTTATTTATTCTTTTGCTAGAAGGGGTTCTATCCTATAACCCCCCGGTTCGAAAAAGTGCGCTCCAGCCCTTCGATCGTCTTTTGATCCAACCCCCCCCTTCATTGCAATATTAGCCATAGGTACCCAAAACCAGGAGTTAAAGAGCCACAACGAAAAATATAACCCCTCCCCTGTTTTCGGGTACTTACAAATACGTACCGGTATGGCCTGGGACAAACGCTCGAGTGCGATATTCGTACGGTGATAGACTACCGGTACTGGTGTCCCGATAGAGAAAGCCGTTGTGATGTGTGTGGCTTGACAACATTCCGATTAGTAGGTCTAACCGCGGAAACGTAGGATGGCGCAAAAAACACTTTTCAACCCACATCAGGCTTTGTGGTGGTGCGCAACCGCCACCGATTGCTTATGTTTCGAAACCATTTTCTTCGCTTTTGTCTTCGTTTTTCTTTTTCTTCATTTTTCTCTTCCCCACATTATTGGTAAGACAAACGGCCGTCCTAACAGGATCCGCTGATTTATTAACTCCTTCCGATCACCCCCCTCAACCCCCCGTTCAGTAGGCGGCCCGTGTGTTCGGTTATCAGGATTTGATAATTTTATTCCGATTTTTTTGATCATGAATTTTGTCGAGTCTACCATACTCGAGTATTGCTTTCCATGCGCAGAGTCGCTTATTTCCTTGGCGCACGCTCAAGATTTTAGAGTGTATCGATAATAGATTTATCCTTCTGGGATTCTGAGACATGATACTACATGTACCAGTACTCGAGTACCGACGAATCCGGCGCTCTGAACTTCTTGCATGGAACTTGATTTATGCTTCCGGGTCGTTAACGGCGCTGTGCTATAGCTGCAATAGGAGCGTCTAATGGAACGATTGAAAAACAGGGAGTCAAAAAGGTATCATAAAGGTGTAACTGAAGCAGTTTCGTAAACCCTAATACTTTAGAACTCTGTAACTTGTTGCAAGGTATCATAATATGCAAGTAGCATTAAATAATAAATGTGCAATAGTAACCATAGGGGGAACAAGAGACAGGGGGGAGGTATTCGCCCGCATGCCAAAGTTTAGGCCAATGTGCGGTACGGTAGGTGATTTCAGGAAGTCTCGATCCAAAACAGGCTGGCCAAGCGAAGTGTTTGAGAAATTGATTGATGGCTAATACGGCAACTCGGTTCTAAAGGGAAAAGTAAGAAGGGACTG